AGACACATCCACTGTTATTGAGTTCCCCTCCCTTGCCCACCGGGCTCTATACAGACAAGGTTTCCAAGGCAACCACAATCAAAGCCTCATCCACTGTCACTGAGCTGAGGCTCCCTTGCCTGTCCTCCAGACTCTGAGGGTGGGGTTTCCAAGCCTACCTTGATTAAACCGTCTGCTGGACTCTGTCCATCCTTATGTGACTTTATTTAACCTCCTCAAGGACAGTAGCCCTCACAACTGCATGGAGAACTTGGCCCTCCCTGTGGCCTTGTCCTTTTTTCTTGGTGACCTCAAAGAGATCAAAAAGATCTGGAAGTTTCTAGATGACTCTGATAAGTACATTGAGGTCTTTTGGGGACTTTCTCAGATCTAGAACTAGACTGGAAAAACATACTGTTACTCTTAAACATTGACTTCTAATGAGAGACAGGCAGCATTACAAGCTGCTGTTACATTTGGAGATGAATATCATATTGCTAATTTTAGAAGACAGAAGGTAGGTAGCTAGGGGAGCTGCTGGTTCCTACGGGAGCTGAAGAAGTCTCTAATGAGATTCCTACTGGCCTACCAACTAGAGGGAGACTGGAGTAGGAAATATTTTCAGACATTTATTTTTGTTTTGCTTTTGGTTTCGGGTTTTTTTTTAAATTTTGTTTTGTTTGAGTCAGGGTCTCACTATCACTATGTAGCCCAGGTTGACCTCAAAATTGTAGTGATCCTCCTGTCTCAGCTTTCTGGGTACTGGGATTATAGGTGTGTGCCATCATGCCCGTCAAGACATGTATTATTAAAGGGCTAAGGAGGATAAGAATTAAGCCCTTCAATTATATTAAATTGTCAACTCTTCAAAAGAAAGATGAAAACCTCTCTGCCTTCTTAGATCATTTATAAGAAGCGGTGGTGAAACATCCTTGGTTCCTGATTCAGTAGAACTGAATATTCTCAGACAAGTTTATTACCCAGTCAGCTTCAGATATCACTAAAAGCTAAAAAGATGGCTTTTGCTCCAGACAGCTCATTTGATACTTTAGTGAGAATTGCCTCCTAAAGTATTTTAAAATCGAGACCAGGAGGAGGCCAAGGGGAGAAAACAAAAAGACCAAGAGAAAGTGGCTGCCCTGGTTGGAACTTTAAAAAGAATAGACTCTAAGTCTGATTACTGGGACTCCAAGAAGGGCTCAATCACTGAACTCACCTGCTACCACTGTGGAAAGCCAGGCTGACTCAGGAGGCACTGTGATAAAAACTGTGAATAACAAGAGGCGCCTGGAGTTACATCCTGGTTGCAAAGGTGACCCCTGGAAGCTGGACTGCTTCCGGAGATGGAGGTCCCAGTGACCAGACCAATCTGGTCCAGCAAGACTGAAGGTCCTGGGGCACTGCGTGCCTTCTCCCTCTGGCCATCTCCATGGAGGAGTCCTAGGTAAACATGACATAGAGGGAAAAGAACCCAGCCTAATCCTGGACACTGGCGCATGTGTCTCAGTCCTTTTCAACCCTGGCCTTCTTTCCAGGCATTACACTTCAGTGAAAAGAGTCACTGGAGAAGAGATGACTCGGTATTTCTCACAACCCTTAGGCTGCAACTGGGACAGCTTTCTTTTCGTCCATTCCTTTTTTATTATCCTTCAAAGTCCAATTCCTCTCATAGGGAGAGATATCTTACCTGCTTGAATACTGTAATATACACTCACCCAGGCCAGGAGCACTGCATCCCCTGGCAGAGACAGAAATAAATCCTAAAGTCTGTGCAACTAATGGTAAAATAGGAAGAGCCGTAGGACTTAGCCTGGAACAAATCCATCTTAAAGATTCCATTATTTTTTTTGTCAGCAGAGACAAAATCCTCTAAGGCCTGAAGTTAAAAAAGACTGTCATCTATAATCGATAACCTAAGGATACAAAGTGTACTTGAGCCTTGTATACTCTAATCTTGGGAGTTCAAAAACCCAGTGGATGGTGGAACTTAGGGCACTGGGCAACAAAGGAACCCACTGGCCTCCCTGGTAAGCAGCCATGGCTTGAGCAAGCAGCGGGCGACCCAGGGAGAGAACCAGCCAGAGTCTCTGGAGATCCCTGCCATGGTGGAACTTACAGCACTCGGCACTCTGCAACAAAGGAACCCACTTGCCTCCCTGGTCCTACAGCGCACGGCCTGAGAACCAAACATCCCATCCTCCCCTACTCCCCCTCCCCATTAGCTAATGGGAGCAGAAGTCTGAGCATCTCTTGGGAGGATGGCCATATGCAATATAGCAAATATGGGGAATTTCCTTCTACCATCTCTTTGAAGGCAAATATTGTTATCAGTTTTGCTTTGTTCTGATTAATTGTATTGCTCTGTTCAATACTCTTCTGATACGTATTACGATGCTCTGTATTTGGTATGATTCTGTTATACCTGATTGAAAGGACAACTATTTTTTTTTTTTTTTGGTCTTTTTCCTTTGTATTGGTACCAGGGATCGAACTCACGACTGCCTGCTTGCAAGGCAGGCGCTTAAGTCGCTGAGTTAAATCCCCAGCTCCAAAAGGACAACTATTGTGAAGATAACAAAATATACTGTGGTACCTATTACTGTTATCCTGGTAACCTGCTGTGAAGTTCTGTACCAATTTTACTGCATTGTCTCAATTGGCTTGGTTCTGTCTTGTTCTGTTGTATTTTACTACCTTCAAAATAACAATAATAAAAGCCCAGTGGAGAGTGAAGGTTGATGCAAGACCTTACAATGGTAATGAGGCAGTAGTGCCAGTCCCCCCAGGGGTACCTAACCTGTACACTCTCCTTTCTCACATCCCAGAACATGCTGGTTGGTTTTCACTGTTAGATTTGAAAATGTCTTCTTTTATATTCTTTTACATACAGGTTCCCAATTTGTTTTGGCCTTTGAAAATCCTCATGATCAGGCCTCTCAAATGGCGTGGACTGTGCTTCCTCAAGGGTTCAGAGACGGGAGGCCTTATCTTTTTGGACAGATGCTTTCCTGTGATTCAGTATGTTTTGAAGTTCTCCAAGTCACAGTCCTATAGTGCATAGATGATATACTGTTATGTGCTCTCTCAGAAGAGCTGTCACTACAGGCATCCATGCTCTGCTGGGAGGTCTCTAAATGTAAAGGCATTGCTTTGGGCCTTATTATATCTAAGGGAACCCCAGAAGGCCGGGGAAAGAGAAAATTAAATCAATACTTTCTTTCCTGCAGTTCAAGACCCTAAAACACCAATAGGATTTCTAGGAATTACAGGCTTTTATTGCCTTTGGATAGCAGGGTATGGTGAGATTGCAGGACCCCTCTATCAGCTTATAAAGGAAACACAAAATGCAGATGCCCATATGTTAACCTGGGGACCTGAGTCACAGACCGCATTCTAGAAGCTTAAACATGTGCTACTAGGTGCCCAGCACTAAGCCTACCAGCAAGACAATCCATATGTTGACAAAGGCAGGGCATGGTTGAGGGTACTTACCGAAGACTGAGGACTTGCTCGGCCCCTTTAAGGTATCTGAGTCATGAATTAGACATCCTAACAGCTGTGCAAGGGGTAAGTACAACTGCAAAAGCTGAATGTTGTTTGTATATCCCTGAACCTTTGGCTAATATCTCAATGGCTGTTCAAGATACTAAATGACAGGGTAATGTCATGCTAGATTCTGAAATTCCAGTATCATCTTCTTACCCTCTTTGTGCGAGGCTCTTCCTGGTGGAAACATTTGTTGGATGTATTCAACAAATTGATTTTATTATTTGGCCCATGCATACTGTTTCTTTGACTATCTCCTCCAGATTTAAAGCTACATGCCTACCCAAGATGAGAATGCACAGCACCTTTCGTGGGTAGTTGGACAGAGCTAGGCCCCTGAGGGAGTCAGTGCAGAAGATGAGAACACATTGCAACTGTGGCTGGAGGCAGATCTGTTGAATAAAGACAGAATAACTAGGCCTACATGCCTCCCCAGGGGAAAACTGATATCAGCAGGTCCAATCAAGTCTATATACACATCAGTCACCCTAGTGGATGAACAAGATCCCAGATCAATTCCTTCCTAAAAAGGTCTATGTTTTTTCCACATACACTTGCTATGCAACCTGTTTCCCCATTGGATCAATATTGGATCAATATTACCTAAGCAGCTATACTTGTAATCTCATTGCATAGTTTTGAGCCACGTTGTACCCACCTTGTGATTTAGCGCTAAAAAATTTCCTATGAGAAGTGGGCTAGTTGGCAACTCACTTTCGGGTCCCCTCCTGTCTCTCAGGAGCCATCCCTCCCAATAAACTTTTCTCTAAACACTTAACTTGCATTGTTCCTTGGAATGCGTTCTTCAGTTTTGGAGAGCACAAACGTGACATGTCTGACATCTAGCAGGCTGGAATTTATATTATTTCCCCTTATCGTGCTATATAATCTAGGCTTCCCATTGGTTCGGTTTGGTCTTTTCCTCAATTATGCTGGATTATCAAATCTTTATTACATTATTTTTTCATCGTCTTACTTTCTAGCTCTAATGTCACAACACTCATCACACACACTCATCACACACACACATATACACAAACTCCTACACTTGGGCACATTGCTTGATACTGTGAGATCACCTGCACAAGTGTTATGTCACTCTGGGTCATTTATCTGAAGATTACATGGTGCTTCACACGTCCACCACATCAGTTTCCTTGTACCGCTGCCGTGAGACCTGTGATCCGTGGAGACATGCACATGGCAACAGAGAGCAAGGCCTAGGTCTTAGCTCCTTCAGGCCCATCAGAGACGCTGAAGACCCTGGAGAGTACACTCATTCTCTTACTAGCTGAGACTCTAAGTTGGAGACTTGCCGAGGGTTCCCTGCCGACACTGCCTCTTCTCTCTTCAAACACAACTTTGAAAATTTCTGAAACTTTTTAAAGGCCCAGAGTTCCCAAAGTGGAAACAACAAGCGACTTACCTTACATCCCAATCAATCTGAAAAACAAAGGCAATGAATGCAAGGATACCTTCTCTCTTTGGAATTCCTCTTTCCATCTGACCCCTGGAATGTGGCCTTTATCTTCAGGATCAGAGAGATGTTAATGACATATTTTCTTTCAGATTCAAGCAGTTCTAAAGCCACAGTTTGTCTTTTAGCTTTAAAAACAAATGAAGAAATTTTTGTTATCCATTCCTTCCCAAAACGCTAAGGAATAATAGAAAACAGTAAAATCATATTGGAAACAATATCAGTAAGATTTTAGAAATTGGAAAACGGAAAGGACACATGACAATTCATTGAATGGGGCAAAAGATGCAAACTTTTTTGTGAGAGGGAGTGCACTGAAAAGTAACAAGAAGACTGAGAGATTAGAGCTACCAGCCACAGAAGTGAAAATAGTGTCATGCTAGAAACAAATCAAATGGTGGAAATCTACATAAGGTGCCACTGATGTCTTCACCTACAAGCCACTCTTCCTTCCAGCCCACAGGAAGTGGAAAAAACAAACCTAGAGAAGGTCTGGCTTGGGGATCTGGGCTAAGAATCTGCACATTTAGAGGGTAAACTGAGATGCTAACAGGAAAAGAGGGTGCAGAGAAGCTGAGTAGTGAGCCACCCCTCGGTCGCCTCCCACTGCAGGACCCAGAATACCAGATTAATACACCAGGCAAGGAGATTGGAGGAGGGTCTTACAAACTCAATACAGCCAACGGTGGTGGCACATACCTGTAATCCCAGCACTCTGGGAGGCTGAGGCAGGAGGATCACAAGTTTGAATTCAGTCTGGAAACTTAGCAATTTAGTAAGACTCTGTCTTGAAATTTAAAGTTAAATTTTAAAGGACTAGGGAAGTAGTTCAGTTCAGTCCCTAGGTCTAATCCCTAGTACTGCAAAAGATAAAAATCACAATCCAAAGAAAAAAGACCCTCGGACATTGACATAAAGAGTTTACCTACAAAAGTTAATTTTGCTACCTGCGTTAGCCTGTCTATAATGAAGCCTACTTGTTGACAAGCCTAGATAATACAAAATTTCCAGAATTTATTTAGCCCTCTCTCTCAAACGTAAATTATCTAAGAATCCTCAGGTATTTCAATAAGCTTACACCACAGAAGAGAGGATAAAAGTATGCATATCTTTATTTATGCTCTCCTTTATTACCAGTATATGTTTGTGATACACAGTGATTACACTGAGCTTGGTATTTGGGTCATACGTGTGTATACAGGACCTCTTGATCAGTTTTACTTCCTCTGCTGGCCCTTCTCTTCTCCTTTCTCCTAAAACCTCTTCCCATGTCTACAGAATCTATCTCCGTATTTGTGGCTGTTTTATTTTGTTCTTTAAGTCATTTATATTTTTGGTCTTTCATTCAACCTTTTGGTGATTGACTTATTTCACTTATTATTATGGTCTTAAGATCCATCCAGTTTCCTACAAGTGATTGAAATGTATCCTTCTTTGTTGTTCTGTATCCATTCATCTGATGATGGGCATACAGGTTGCTTACATGATTTAAATTTAACTATTGTGAGTTTTGTTCCCATCAACTTGAATACATGTGCATCACTATAGTACGAGGACTTACGGTATTTTGGAAAGATACCCAGGAGGGGTATAGCTGAGTCAAATAGAATTTATATTCTTAGTTTTTTGATAAGTCTCCATATTGATTTCCAAAATGGCTGTACAAGTTTACAGTCCCACCTATAATGTAATAGGTTTTCTTTTTCCCCATATGCTTGCCAGCATTATAAACATTTATTTAGGGGAGATATGGTAAAGAAACAGAAACAATGCAGATACAAATGAAAACTTCAAATAATTATATAATTAATATTCCTAAAGAGAGGGCTGGGGATTTAGCTCAGCGGCATAAGCACCTGCCTTGCAAGCAGGCGGTCGTGAGTTTAATCCCCTGTACCAATACAAAAAAAAATATTCTTAAAGAGATTTGAAAAAATATTCTAGCCATTGTAAATTACAAGATGCTATTTATATTTTTTTAATTTAGTTATTTTTATTTTTAAAATTTATTTTTTTACTTATTTTTGAGACAAGGGCTTGCCATCCAGTTCAGGTTGGTCTTGAACTCACGATGTAGCCCAGACTGGCTGCAAACTCACAGCAATCCTCCTGTATCAGGCTCCCAAGTGCTGGGATCATAAGTGAGCTTCACATTAGCTACAAGATGCTATGTTTAAAAAGGAGAGAATAATTTTTAAAAGAAACTTCTTGACATTTACAAGACATAGTAAGAATTAAAATGGTAAAAGATAAAACCAAAGAGATACAACCTCCCCCACTTCCCCAAAAAAGCAAACAAGAAGAGATACAATGAAACAAAACAGAAGCAAAAAACATGGCAGTTGAGAAAATCAATACAGAAGATCCAACATCAACTTAGTAGAAGTTTTGAACAAAAAGAAGGAAATGAATGAGAGGACATTACCAAACGAACAGAGGAAAACATCCTATGCCATCTGTCCCCAGAGGAAGGGAACTACTATGCTCTGTGTAATTAATGCAGAAGACTCATGTCAGTGTAAGGCACAGCAGGACGACAGGAATACATGAAGTTACCAAAGAGAAAAGTAACAGACACAGGACTGGAGATCAGAATGGTATTGGACTTTCCAACAGCAACATTAGAAGCTAGAAGACACAGAGATATTGCTTCAAAATGAGAGGGGAAAACGTTTTTCTATTAAGTCAAATTAACAATAAAGTATGTGGAAATAACAGGGAATGTATTCTATCAAAATAAAGAGTAAACCAAAATACTAAGGACACTCAAGATGAACAAGCATAATCATCAATGACAACCAAACTGGAATCTAACATGGGAGAAATGTGAAAAAAATTCCTAGGAAAACGGAGGTCCCAGGATGACAGCAGTGTGAGGGACCAGAGTGGCACAGGATGACAGAGATCTTGAGGCAGATGCTTTAAAGGAAAAATAAACCTAAATTATAGAGTTAGTGTTACATTGCTGAGAAAAATGCAAGAAGATCTATGTGAATGAAAGCTATAAAAAGATAGGAACACTATAAATGCTCTTTGAACAGAAGACTCAATACTGTCAACATGACAATTTCCTGAAAATTGAAATAAAAATATGATCTAGAATTAGACTCGCTCATATGAGATCACTTGACTGTGATCAGTTCAATTCAGTGGGGGAAAAGAAGGAATTTCAGTAAATAGTACTGAAGTTAACTGAGGGAAAAATTAACCTGAATCTCTCCCTCCCACTATACATTAAAACTTATTTAAATCATAGTCTTTTTGCTCTTCAAAACAGGATCTCGCTATGTAGCTCAGGCTGGTCTTGAATGTATTATGCAAGACAGCCTTGATCTTGCAGCCATCTTCCTGCCTCAGCCTCCCGAGTGCTGGGATTACAGGCATGTGCCACCATGCCCTAAATCATTGTTGTATGAGAAAGGTAAAATTATAAAAATTTCAGGAGAAAACACATGATAATAACTTTGTAACCTTGAGACAGACAAAGGTTTCTTGGAAGGATGTGAAAGTCATAAACTATTTAAAAAGTTTTTAAATAGGTGGATTGGACTTCATTAAATCTTAAAACATCTGTTCATCAAACGACTATTAAGAAAATGAAAAGGCAAGTCACAGACTAGAATAAACTAATCTCAACACCTGCATCAGATGGAGAACTCATACAAATTAGAAAAAAAGACAACTCAATTTAAAATTTGGGCAAAGGATTTAAACAGGTACTTCATAAAAGATCGGTGAACAACCAATAAGCATATGAGGAAAATATGTTCAGTATCAGCTGTCATTAGGAAAGTACAAATTAAAAAACCACAGTCTCATCTCAGTGCACACCTGTGGGAATGGCTGTCATCACAAAGACTGCTCACTTCCAGAATCAGGCAGGATGTAAGGCAAACAGAGTCCTCATACACTGCTGGTGGGCACATAAAATCATCTAAGCACTTAGGAAGGTGACTTGACATTTCCTTTTAAAGTTAAACATAATCTTAATGTCTAACCCAGAGATTCTGTTCCTAGCTATATACTCAACATAAATGAGCACATACATTAAAAAAAAATCTGGCACAAAAATACCTACAGACATTTTGTTCATAATAGTCCCAAAGAGAAAACAATACAAATGTCCACCATCAGAGAATGGTACATTAATTTAGTGTTATTAATAAACAGGACTGAATAATCAACTGAATTAAGAGTAACAATATGGATGAATCTCAAAAAACATTATGCTGAGAGAAAAATGCCAAGTACAAAAGAGTGGGTGTCATATTATTTCATTTATATGAAGTTCAATCCAGTAACAAATGCTGGCAGGGCTGTGGGAAAAAAGGAACCCTTCTCCGCTGCTGGTGGGAGTGTAGACTGGTACAATCACAGTGGAAATCAGTGTGGAGACTCGTCAAAAACTACGATTAGAGGTCCTGTTCTACCCAGCTATTCCCCCTCTGGGTATTTTCCCAGAAGAACTGAAAACATCATACCACAGCGATATGTGTGCACTCATGTTTATAGCACCACATTTTGTAATAACTAAATCTTGGAAATAACCCAAATGCCCATCAACTAAGGAATGGATTTTTTTTAAATGTGCTTTTTTTTTTTTTTTTTTTTTGGTGCCAGGAATTAAACTCGTGTCCTCATGCTTGCCAGGCAGGCGCTTATGTGACTGAGCTAAATCCCCAGCCCAAGATGTGGTATTTTTATACAATGGAGTACTATTAAACTGTAAAGAAAGAAAAACTTGAGGCTTTTATAGGTAACTGGATGCAACGAAAGACCATGCTCATGAGTGAAATAAATCAGACTTGCCTGTGTAAACATCATATTGTCTCCCTAGTATAAGAAACTGAAAGAGTAAATAAGATCCAAAAGGAACAATAGATATTGTGAAATGGAAAGAAACTGCTCAAAAGGAAAGAACAACTGGGATGGGAGAAAGGAGAAAAGAAGGAAAAAGAAAAAATATGTATGCATATATATACATGAGCTAGCTAAGATAATTGTACTACTAGTACTACTAGTTCATCGAAAGGAACAGTTAGTGCTTATAAAAGAAAGAGACAAAACTAATGTATGATAGCAGAAGGCACAGTGATAGTTCTTTGATAAAATATTGGCTGGAAAGATGTATGAGAGAACTTTCTAGAGAACTTTTCTAGAACTTTCTACGGAGATATTGAATATGTCGGTCTGGCTAGAGATCACAGTGGATACACCTATGTAAAAAGTCAACAAGCTCAAATGTAATCTCTGAACTGTACTCTACATCAATCAACCCTCAGCAAAATAGCAAGACAAATGTTTTTTAAACACAGGAGCAAATACCAAAAGAAGCTGTCGAAAGAGTCCAGAGTAGTAACTGTTGTTTTCGTAACAAAACTTTTAGTACTACTTATTTTGCAAGTATTTAATAATTAAATAATTTTTAAAAATTACCTTCCCAAATAGTTGGGGGAATTGGTACTGTCTGACACACAGGAAGTGTTCAAGAATGATTAATGGTATGAATGAAAAGATGGAGAGCCAGGGGGAGAGAAGAAAATCAGCCTGATTCAGTGTTTTATAACCATGGAAGATTATTAATACAATAATATATATCTCTGACTAAATAATTCACACATTTTCATCCTTCTTCTCCATGAACCTTATGTGTTTTTTTTTTTCTAAAGGACTACATTACTAGATGTCATGAATGCCCAGAATCACGATGTAGAGGTATCACTTCTAGTAAGTTCTTTCACCTCTGTGGGCTTTGATTGCTTCATTTGAAAAAAGACCAGGTGGTTTCATGTATCCACTGAGTCTGTCATGTCAGGATTCTAGCCCTCACTTTCTAATCTGTGTTCTATCTTGTTCTCTAAAATTTCGGTCTGAATTTCCCCATGGAACTTACCAGCTAAAGAGGTTTCACATAAAACATTATCCAAGGAGCTGTGTCTACCCTGGCCAGCTTCCTTGAGTTTATCAGGATGGTCCTTTGTGACATATTCTTCCCCCCACTCTTTGCCATCCTTGGGCTGCCTCCACATGCCAGATGAAAGGTGGCCTTTAGGCTGGATATCAGCTGGGATACAAGACTTGAGGTTTTCATCTGTTTCTGGAGTCGTTGGGTTCACTCCTAAAAAATAACATCTGTGATCAAGATCATTCTTTTTAAGTAAAAAATAGCATTTGTTGTTAACTCTTAACTAATATACCCTGGTTTGGATACAACCATTCCTCAAGGACTAAATATATAAATTAAGGATTTAAAGTTTCCTGGATCAGGAGGGGTCATCTCTCTCTACTTCTGGTCTATGCATCCTCTACTCTGTGTGTATAGTCTCTACTAAAGAACAATTTTTTAAAAAACGAATTCGTAATGCAATAGAACTAACTTAGAATATATGTATTGATTCCTCACATATGCTTCCTTTCAGGTGAATACACAAAATGTCTGCAGCCCCTCTAGGAGAAAAGTAGAAAGAGGAGGACTGCCAGAGACAATGTCTTTTTTTGCAATTTATCCCCTTGACTCTGATGCTGGTAAATTGGAAAAAGGAAGGAGGAAGGTGAAATAATATATAAAATATTGGTGAACTGTCAACTCAGTGGATAACTTTTGAATCAAACCAGAAGAGTGCAATCTGTGGAACATTTATATCATGAAACAGTCACCTGTGAGACTTGGGCAAATGCTAATTCATGAGTAATTGAACTGAGCCAGCAAAACCCAAAACTACTGGATTTGTCCTAACTTCTCCAGTCTTTCTTTCTCCTAAGGATTAAGTAACCCACTAATCAACTCTAGTTTACCTCTTGAATCTTAGTAATTCATTGGAATTCCTTATCTTGCCTGAGTTCTTTCATGCCTGGTTTGAGACTGAGGAAGTTGAAGTGGGAAAGAACACAATTTCTGGAAGGAAAAAAGAGCTGAAGGAGAAGAGCCACTTACCAGGACCCATCATTCCCTTCACGTTACTGTCTCCCACATGAACGGGTCTGGACTCCGGGGCTGTGGAGAAAGGAGAGCTTTCATTCAGTGTTCATTCGGTATCATAGCTAACTGCCTTCAAGAAGCCAGGCACTGAAGACAGACACAGATTTTATAGTCTGAGGGGAAAAACAGAGAACTGGAAAGAAGGAAGGAAAAAAGGAAGGGAGGGAGGAAGATAGAATTATGTACAGTGTGGCAAGCACTCTTTTCTCAGCTCAGTAAAAGATATATAACAGTGGTACTTACCTCGAATGATTGTGTAAGAATTAAGCAGGTTCATGCATTTAAACTGCTTAAAGTAGTACCTGAAATTCTGCAAAAGCTGAATTGTTTTTTAACTATGACAGCGATGTAGTGGCAGTGGTGATGATGGTAATAATGATGACCAGAGTGGTGTGATGCTGTTCAAATGCAAACCAGGCTCTGTCACTCATCTGATTGGCTTCCCAATGGCTTCCATTTCAGTGTAAATCCCTAAGTCCTTACGATGATCATATACCCTAAAATATTTGCTCCCCAACCCTGCCAGCTGCCTCATGGTTGCTGCTGTTACTTGTTTTTAACTGGATCTTTTTCTGTTTCACTTGTCCACCCTGGTCTTCTTGCCAGGCTTTGGACATATCAATAACGTTCTCCCCGGGACTTTGGGACTGGCTGGTCCCCCTCTTCCTTTCTGTATCCCTAAGCAAACTCTCTCCCTTTCACATTTTTACCTGGCACCCTATCTAGAATTGCAATTCACATTTATTTTTTCCTTAATTTAACACCATCTAACATGCAACATATATTCCTTGTCTTGTTCATTATCTGCTTCCCTCAAAGAAAGGTGCCATGAACTTTGGTTGTTTTGTTCATTACTTAAGCAGGGCCAGGGAAAAATGGATGGATTAGGAAAGAAGGAAAGAAGGAAGGAAAGAAGGAAGAGAGGGAGGGAGAGAAGGAGGAAGGGAGACAGATTATGAGGGAGGAGAAAAACTCTAGGGTGCTATGAAAAGTCTATTAGGGCAGCAAGTGACATGGATTTGATGCAGAGAAAGGTTGGTACCAAAAAGGATGGTGTCAGGAATATTTTCTAATATTTCATGATTTAAAGTTTGGCAGCATTGATGTCACATGAGGTCATTAGAAACACCAAAGCTCAGGCCTCAGCACAGAGTGGCTGAATCCAAACCTTATTTCAACAGTGTTGTAGCAATTTCACATTGGAGAGGAGATATTAGAGCCCCGGCCCAGAGACCTTGGAGGGTGAATAGGAGTTAACCAGTTAACCAGAAAGGTAAAAGGGAGGAAGGGACATGAGTAGAGGGAATAACAAATGTGAAGGGCCAGAAACCACAGACTGCAGGGCACCGCAAGATCTAAAAGAATATAGAGATAGAGTTAGAGGGTAATAGAAGATGAATCTGAGATAAAAGCAGAGGCTACTTAGTACACAGCCATGTAAACCGTGTTAAGAAATTTGGACTAGACTTCTGGGAGAACATGGAGGATAGATAGCAGCAGCTACAGAGGCTCTCTGAGATACCCCGCTTAGTGTCCAGAAAGGGGTGGAGTCCTAAGCAATGGGAGATACACCCTGCCGACCCAGGAACAAACTAAGCTAAGAGAAAACCAACTAGAAACGTAATCTCAGTGCTATAACAGGAACAGATAAAATCTCAGCACGGAAGCTGGATCCCGTGCCTTTGGAAGCCATGATTTGAATTTCCTGCTACCACTGCTGCGTCCAAATCAGCACAGCAGGGAGAGAGATGCGTGAAAACTCTGAAAGTGGGAATCGATGAACAGAGTTGAGAACGGGACTGGCAGGGAGCCCTGCATCAACCTGCAGTGAGTGAGCAGAACAGGGACCCTTCCATAGAGTAGGAGGCTTCAGCAAAGGACATACTGGGACTGGGCAGACTTGCCAAAACAGGACACTGCAGTAACTTTAGTCGCATATTCCCCTCTCAAGCGGGATTGGTGGGAAGTGCCTGGCCTGGGTGATGCCGCTGACTAAGACCCAGTAGGCGAGTCCAACATAGGTCCCAGTGCCTGGCGGTACACCCTAGCAGTGAAGCCTTCGGTAGGTTGACCTGGAGGGGCAGGCCCAGCACAGGCTGCCCAGGTCTATGTCTCTCTAGTGCACTGCAGTGGGTGGGAACACCTAGCCAGCACAATTCAAACAAACTGTAACAGTCAAAGAAAGAAATGGGGCCTCCTATATATGCTTGTATGGAAGGAACAAAAAGTACGGGAAGACGAAGCAACAAGAAAGGGTCCTCAGTCCCCAATCCTGAGAACACTGATCCAGGAAACGTGAATGCAAAGGAGAATGAGGAAAGAAAACATGCACTATCAGACACGGCACCAATAGACATAAAGTGATATCTCCAGAGCCTCATAGATGAGTTCAAAAGTGAAGTATTTAATGAAATAAAGCAAGATATAAGTAGAATAGTTAGAGAAATGCTAAGCACTGCCCAAGAAAAAAACAGATGGTAGAATGGAAGAACAGAAAAAAAGGGGAGAATTGTTTGATGGAGAAAATAGAGAAAACATAGAATACATGAAGCAGGTTCAAAGAGATTATCAGGAAACTAAAAACTCTATCGAAAGCTGGCATTACAGCTTGAAAGAAACTATGGACAGGTTATCTGAACTGGAGGGCAGATTTGCAATGTGGGAGCATGAAATGAAAAACTTAAAAATAACAAGAAAACAAACAGCAATAATACAAAGGCTAGAAGATGATAAGAGGATCTATAACTTAAGAATTAAGAACATAAAAGAAGAAGTAGGGACACAAACAAATGGACTACAAAAGCTATTCACAGAAATAATCCAAGAGAATTTTTCTAATTTAGCAAAAGGTAAAGATACTCAGATGTATGAGGCATACAGGACCCCAGCCACCTACAACCCAAACAGAGTTACACCCAGGCATATAATAATCAAAATTCCAGAAATCCAATATAAGAACAGAATACTAAAAGCCATCAAAGACAGGAAACAGATCACTTACAAGGGAACACTCATCAGAATTACAGCAGACTTCTCAGCACAAACCATCAAATCACGAAGAGCATGGGGTGAAATAATTCAAGCTTTGAAAGATAATAACCTCCAGCCAAGATTGATGTATCCTGCACAACTGTCCCTAGAAATTGATGGAAAAACAAGGTACTTCCAGGATAAAGAGGAACTAGGGGAATTTGCAACCACCAATTCAACTCTACAGAGAATACTGCAGAATATTCTAAAAAAGGAAAATACCAAGATTCTAGAAATAGTGGCAGAGAGGCCACAATGAATGGAGCAGAAAGCGAAATAAAGAAGACAAATGACAGAAAAAGTTCTCAACAGAAATGAGGCAGAGAAGGTTGGATGGTAGGAACAGCTAATTTTAGAGAAAACAAGACATTATAATAGCTAGTACTGATTTAGTATCATCTTGTTTTGAAGTCCCATCAAGCTTTTATTCTTCTGTCTCTATCAGTCTTAACAGGTTATATCTTGTTGGATTTTATTATATCTGATAATACAAGCAAAAACTTTTATAGACAAGGAGATTATACAGAAACCATTGTTCATTTTCTGATAGTTGGTTCTAAATACCCTGTAATACTGTCATTCTCTTGAATGGTTTTACATTGTCTTGATATGTTTGGTGCTACAGTATCCTAAGTTATACTCAAAGATTTCAAGGAAAGAGACACTATGGTAACTACTTTTATGCCAGGATATCTTGTGGTGAAACACTATTTTGCTTAAATGGTTATGCTTTGACCTGAGCTGTTTTGTTGTTATGCCCTCTTTTATCTCAGTCTTCTTTTTTTAAAATTATTTACTTTTTTATTTTTATATTTTTAATTAAGGGAAAAATAAAAAAATAGCAGGATACATTATAGTAACACACTTTGATTTCCTATTAACTTGATTTGAAACCCTGTATTGCCCTCACCATCTTGCTATGACCGATTTTCCCCTATTCTGCTTTGCTTGATAGTACCAAGTTCGAAAGTATAGGCAACAACTGTGAAGACAATAAGATTCATTATGACGCCTATTCTGGTTGACTATTATCTTCTTTTAAAGTCCCGTAATGTCTCCAATGTTTTGGTTTTATTCTTTACTATTTTGTTCAATTTTATTATAACTGATGATATAGGCAATTCTTTTTAAGATAGCAAGAGGCAGTATGGTAACCATTGTTGATCACCTAGTATTTTGTTTTTACATTATCTATTATGTCCATCCTTTTGATCTGACTGACTCTGTTCTGATATGTCACATTTGGTTTTATTCTCTTCAAAAAAAAGTAATAAGAACTGTGGGAGTAATAAAACCCAAAATGTGTAATTGTCATTGTACAAAAGAGAGGAAAACAAAGTGCTCTAAACGATATAACTGCATGTACATTTAAGTGTATAAGATAGATAACCATATTACTGAGTTTTGTTGGATCACTGAACAGAACTGTTTGCACTCTCACTATTTTAAAGTCCACTTTATATGCTTCAATTTTGTAACTTGAACAACTATCTCTAAGATAACAATATGTTATCTACTAACTAGTGATTTCCTACTGTTTATTCTTTCTGAAATTCTGTATAATTTGTACCCTTTTTATGCTTTTTATTTCTTTTTCTCCTTAAATAAAATTTAAAAAAAAGAAAGAAATTTGGGCTTTATTTTGAGGACAATCTGGAAGCCAAACAGAATTTATGAAGGAGCAACCATAAGTAGGAGGAAAATCAAGGAAGCACAGAAAATAGCCTAAAGGAAATAGATAAATAAATAAGTAAATAAGTCATCCTAAGGAAACAGGAACCTAAGGTACAAATTATGAAGAAGAGGAAAGAAAGAGTCTTGGTTAAAGGGAAGGATGGAAGCCAATACTGCGAAGGTCAAATAAATAGGAGATAAGAAAGAGGAAATTGATCATGGAATTGTATCATTCAAAAAATTAGCTCTCAGGGCTGAGGATACAGTTGTGGTAGGTGTTTGCCTAGTGTGCCCAGGCCCTAGGTTTCATCCTTAGCACTGGGGAAAAAAAACCAAACAGGTTAGCTTTCAATTTTCCTAAGCAAGAGTAACTAGGTGAGAGTAATAGGGGAGAAGAGCCTAGTTACATAAAAAAACCTTCTTGAAGTCCTCTTGGGTAGGAGAAGGAATCCAAAGGAAAGGTAAATCTGGTCCTGCAGAAGCACATACTTAAACTTGTCAGTTGTACACTTAGTGTATGAATGAAGCTTTTGCATCGAGGACACAGTTCAGGCATTGCCTTTTAAAATGGAGGCTTAGCCATTTATGGAAAGCAGCCTCAAAGACTGTTCCCCAGTCACCCCCATGTCCTTTATATAATTCCTGTAGGATTCACGTCCGTATGTAATTCCTTTCTTTGAGTAGGAGCTGGAGTGAATGATTGGCTTTTAACGAATACAATATGGCAGAAAGACTAGGATGCCACTTCCAAGATTAGATTATAAAAAGTCTACGGATTTCATCTTGAACATTCCCTCAGATCATTTGTGCTGGGGGAAGCCAGCTGTCACGTTGTAAGGCAGCGGCTTTGAGAAGCTCATGTCACAAGGACCAGGACCCTTTAACAGCCACGTGAGTAAGCTTGGCAGTAGATGCCCCCTAGCAGACTGTGCACACCAGATGAGCTCAGCCGTGGCCAGTGCCTTGATTGCAAGCTTGCCTGAGACCCTAAGCCAGTGGCATTCAGCAAATCTATACAAAGAGTTCTTACTAAGAAAACTTGCAAGATAATGAATGTTTACTGCTCTTAGCACTAAATTTTGGGCAATAGATAACAAATGCACTAATTCTCATTAAAAATGGATAAGCCAACACTTTCTGAAAGTTTAGTTCTTTGACCCTAAATTTTAATATGTTACCACCAACTGTATCTGGAATATTTGATTACAGCACATTAACCCCAAATATTCTGCAGCAATTTAGTAGAATAAACTATAACCACATGTAAATAGCATGAAAAGAATGAGGAGTTGTCAGGAAAACTGTTCATTTAAATCCATATGGGGCCTGGAATCATCTGAATCAGCTGTTTTCAGTGAAATGAACAAGCCCTGTGATTATTCCTTTCCTGAAAGGCCTGGTCCATTGCCTAAAAATGTACACATTTGTTTTAAAATGTAACTTTTGATACTTTATCTTGTGAACTTGTGCAGCTGTCTGCAATCTGCCAATGATCATCTCTGCTTTCCAAACCAATCCTGAACTCTTTCTCCAGTGAGGATCATCCTTCCATGACTTGCTCTCCCAGTTACAAAGCAAAGACAACAGAACCACGCACGGACCCAATCCCCATTACATCAAGTGAGTCCTGGCTGCACCAGCTGTCTCTTAAATTCCTACAGCATCAGAAAAATAAAGAGGGACTCCCCATAAAAGCCACTTGATTCTGATTTTTATATGCTTACTGTCTGTGACACTATAAGCCAAATTGTTCCCTAAGCCATAAGGATACAAAAACACAAACCCTTCCTTAGAGGAGAATGACGCTTGATTGAGAAATCATTGAGCCTACCTTTTGAGGACTTTCTATAGAAGACCAAAAATAAATAAATGAATAAATGAATAAGGGAAAGCCACGTAAACAGTGTGAATTTCTACATTCACTTTTCTGTGTAGAGATGCTTTGTAAGACATTGTTGAGAATACACAGATGAGCCAAACATTTTAAAAATGTATTGTTTCCTGAGTTGTACCCAGCCCCATGATCTCCTTGGTTGGAAAGCTAGTTTCCTTATACTGCCAGGGTGCCATTCTGTAAGCTCTGTTCCCATCCCTCAGCTCAGGGATGTGGTTGGTGACTGTTACAGCTCACATATAGCACTAGCTGTGTTATTTTTTGTCTTGTTTTGTTTCAGAGAAGAATGGGTACTGAGTCAGAGTGCCAATGAAAACACAATTTTAGAGTAAAATTTGTAAGTTCTTTCATATGGTTGGTATAGTATAAATCATTTTAAATCCAGTTGAAACAAAAGAATCCAAACTAGTGTTTTCCTGAAAATCTTCAAAACTGGGCAAATTTTCAGGAGCTCTTGAGTCCCCTGGATCCTCCTAACTTCTGGTGATAAGGAAAAATTATGGGCGGTATATCGTGTTCCTCTACTAAAGAGGAGCATTTAAGTTCATTCTTATTACTGTACCCACAGGTTCTAGAAATCAGGGTGGGGGAATACTTGGTTCATTGACCATGATTTGTGCACTGTACCTTTTTCATAGGCCTGAGAAGGCAAAATATTGGTAAAGTCTTCATTTGGCAGAACAGGTTCAGGAATGTTGATGGAACGGAAAGGGCTTCCTTGTGCTTGTGCAGGCCCAGCCTGGGTACTGTGTTCTTCTTTTTGAGTTTTCCTGGGAAAGGGATACAACAAAGGTAGTTTTCTTCTTGGATTTATCCGGAGGGGATTTAGTTCATAGCAACTTGAGAAAATGTCCAAATTATTAGGTTGAGTCATAAAAATAGCTATTTTCATAAATTAAAAATGGTTCATTAAACCATCAGGCATGGTGGCACGTGCCTGTAATTCTAATACTTGGGAGGGCTGAGGCAGGAGGATTGCTGGGAGTTCGAGGCCAGTCTGTACATAGTGAGTACAGACCAGCCTGAACTGCATAGGGAGACCCTATCTCAAACAAACAAGCAAATTGAAAATAGTCCACTTAGGGGTTGCAGGTATAGTTTAGTGGTAGGGAGCTTGCCTAGCACGTGCAAGACTCTGGGTTTGAGCCCCAACATAAAGAGAAAAGAGTCTCATTATTAGTAATTCGCATAATTACTAATTTAACTTAATTTGTCATTTGAGCTGGAGAAAAAGCTTCAGATAGCTGCAAATCACTTCTAACTATAATTTCTTCATTCTTAGCTTTCTGTCACTGGCATCCCTATCCTCGGGAATTTTATTTATTTGTTTATTTATTATCTTGTTGAGACGGGATCTCACTATGCAGTTCAGGCTGGCCTTGGGCTCACTTTGTAGCCTACGCTGGTCTTAAACTTGCAAACAGTTCTCCTGCCTCAGCCTTCCGAGTGCTGGGATTACAGGAGTGTGTCATCACACGCTACTCAACAGGAATTTTAAAGCTTATAGGTAACTATAGTTTGGGATGATTTATGTTTGCTAACCTGTTTCAGGGTCACACAAATATTCTCATATTTCTATTTCAAATGCAATAATGTTTAAAACATTCGGTAATAAAGATTACATACCCTGAGCGGGGAAACTTAAGTTGAGACACTCTTTAACATAAACTTATTTTCAATCATAGAAGTAAAGTAATAAGGGGCTGGGGATTTAGCTCAGTGGCATAAGTGCCTGCTTTGCAAGCGCATGGTCGTGAGTTCAATCCCTGGTACCAATAAAAAAAAAAAAACAAGAAACAAAACAAAAGAAGTAAAGTAATAGCAGCCTTAGAGAAATTTTAGGAAACAAATTTAAAAAAGGAATCACTGGTGGCCTCAAATCTTAACACAACCAACACTTTATAAAACAATCATTATTTTTACATATATCTTTCCAGTTATTATCTTTTGATGGTGTGATCAAAGCCTCCATGCCATTTTATGTTATTTTCATTTCACATCATATTGTATTGAGTGTATTTTCCTTTGTAGTATTTACCATCCATTTGTGGAATGAACCAGCTTCCATGGGACTCTGCTCTCTGTCACGCGCCGACTCCCAGAGCCCCAGGGCCAGCGGCTGTATGTGGACATTGGGGGAAGTTGTTCTCGGTGCCTCTGTACGGGCTTATGGGTTGGCCTTTGGTAAATATTTTTAAGACACTCACTTGGCTTTAACTTTTCGAGACTCTCTTCGTTTCTCCTGTTGCAGTTGTTCAATCTTCTGTTGCATTTCTTCTTGTTTGGAAGTGATGGCCTGGATCATTGACATAGCATTACTCAGCTCTTCCTAAAACACAAGAATTTCTGTATTTTAAACTGGAACATGGAATGACAGTATATAATATTTAGTATTCCATAAGCTTTTAGCACATATTTATTGAATGAAAGAAGGAATTAATTAACGAGGATTTAAAACTGTACTTCTATCGTGGCCTCCAATTTTAACATGGCTGTGAAAAAGAAAAACACCAAATAGATATTTTTCTAGGTAACTAGTGAATGGTGCAGATGACAAATTCTTATATTTGGCTCCTAGGGAAAGGGCATATTTTCTGCTCCCATTAACTAAAGACCAAGATTCATTTTTTTAGAGGGAAAAAAACGAGGTACCTACCTTGAAATAGTTCAATGAATTCTTCATCTCAGTAACTTTTTCCTCCATGGAACACTTGCAGCTCTTAACCTTTTCTTCCAAAGCATATTCTCCATGTTGAATGCGTGACAGTTCCTGCATTGCCTCTGTGAATCCAGTTTTCAGCTCGGAGGCCAGGGCCTGCAACTAAATAAAGTATGCAAAGTGAGTTGAGCTTGCTCTAAATTATTATCAGTGGCACTATTGACCCCTTGGGTTTGTCTTTTCTTTGAGAAACCAGGCTCTTGGAAATCTACAGACTTCGTTTGCTTGAGTTTGGAAAACTTAAGGCAACCTTGGCGCCATTTGTCTAGGGAAAAATAGTATATTCTTTACACAGTGCATAATGAATAAGTGCCAAGCAAGAAAGCAATAAAGTTGATAAGTGCTCCTGCACTCTACCATTTATTTTAAACCCTGTGATAAAAGTGAAGTTTACCTGAAAAGCAATATACAAATGTGAAAAGAGTCTTAACCTGGTAACTCTGAATTCTGTGAACAGAGTGATGGGTCATATTCTTCCTTGTATGATAAGAGAATAAATACACTTCTTTTAGTCCTTAGGAAGCTAAAAGGTAAAATGAGTAATAACTAGGGATTGATGAAACTGTCTTTGAAAGGGAAAAAAAGTTTTGTTTCTGTATTTTTTTTTATCCTTGAATATTATCCTGAAAAAGTTGGTAATGACATTTTCCGTGACAGTGAGCTTTAATCCCTAAGGTAAGCACAGATGTATGTATCTACAGCGGTGGCAGCTGAGCAGGTCAGTGGTGCTGGGCGTCCCTGCAGCAGGCAAGCCTGGCCACCCAGGAACATGCATGCTGGACTTCGGATGTCAAGTTGTACACCACGAAAGGGGGGTTAGGTAGGGGGTGAATCCCAGCAGTCTCATGCAAGAATTAAGATCTTGGTCAAGTTGCTTAACCTCTTTGTAGCAGATTCCTTATTTTAAAATAATTATAATAATATCGCTGTCACAGGGCTGGCTTGAGTACGTAACGAAGCAACATAGCATAGCATCTACCACCAAGCTTGTGCTTGACATAGGTGTTCAAAATTTTTCATTCTTTTCCTCTTTAGGTGACAAATCAAAATATTAAGCACAAAGAGAAATGGAGTACTTCTAACGGTTCAGATTTAATTATTAAACAAATGAGAAAAGCAATTTCAACAGACAAATAGTAACAATATGACAACAATACTGCTTTCTGGACATTTATGATCTTATTTGGTTAAGTAAAGGACCTCTTAGCTCCACTTTTCAAAATAGAACTGATTAGGTTTATTTTATATTTTAAAGTATCCACCAACTAAGGGATGAAAGCTACAGTCCAGGTACCATAACAAAATTTCTTCATATGTGTGTTTCTAAACATTTTCAGAATGAATTCATCCAAATAGTACCAATTTGCAAAGACATCTTCCACTATAAAGACTCAATATCCTGTGCTACATTTTAAAAATATAGTGTTTTGTGTTTCACAGTTTCTTTCTAGGACAGGGAAAGGCAGAAATAAGAGGAACCAAAGAGATTGCTTTGAAGAAAAAAAAAAAAAAAGGAGAACCTAAGAAGTATTTATAGATGGAAAACTGGGAAACAAGATAAACAATCTATTTTTCATTCCAATTAATTTTAATTAGAATTAATCTTTGTGATGGACCTTGGTACATCTAATTCAGTCATCCTGCTGGATTAAATCACTAGATCAACTATCTTCTGATCTGGCTTTTTTATTATGCAAATTCATCTTCTGTGCAAATAATAAAATTGACAGTTATCTAAACTCAAAGTAAAAAGTACACAATTTTTAAAATTAAAGGAAGGAAGTCCGACATTTATTTCAGTGCCCTGACATATAAGTTTTGCTTAGGAAAAAAAGAGAACCACTATCCAAAAGAAATAGGTTTCATTATCACTGCTCCCACAGGCGGATGTGTGGTTTCTGCTAGACGCCAAAAGACAGCAACAGAGTCTTAGGAAAAAAGACTTCTTCACCTGTAGTCCCTCAACTCTCAAAAAAATTTTAAAACTATCAAAATTTTCTTTAACAGGCAGCTTACATGTGGACTCTGGGAATTCTGAAACTGTTCTGAGCTGCCAGCCCACTTTCTCTCCATATATTTCTTTGAATGAGTCACTACTGCTTTATAAACAGCTTCACAAGCCGGGGGAAGCCAGGGCTCACACACTGCGACAATAGGTGACTTTTAAAATGCTTCAGCTGCTTAACTAGCTCTAGTTGTTACAGACTGGTTCTCCAGAACAACATCACTGCCTTTTTTGTTTGTTGTTTTGAGACAGGGTCTCGCTATGCAGTTGAGGCTGACCTTGAGCTCACTTTGTAGCTCAGGCTGGTCTCGAACTTGCAATGATCCTCCTGCCTCAGCCTCCTGAGTGCTGGCATTACAGGCGAGGCCTGGTTTTACATCACTTGTGAATGAAAAATCCCTGGAGGGCACGGTCTTCACATCTCTTTTCTGCTCTGTCCTCCGCTTTCTTATCTCAGCCCACAGCCCACCCCAAGGATTAGAAATGGGAGTCTACCTTGTACTCCAGCGAGTTGAACACGTTCCTCATCTCGTTGATTTTTTCATGGAGCTGCTCTAGAGAGGTTATGATCCCTCCATCCTGCCGCTGAAGGCGGGCTCCCACCGGAGGCAGGTTCAGGGAGGACTTGTACTTCAGAGCCTAGGGTACCACAGAGGGCAGCTTAGGCTCAGAGAAATGGGGAGAAGAGTCCGAATTCTTCCTAATTCCTGCTCTTAAGTGCTTGCTTCTCAATTTTCTTGGCTTCTTAACTCTTCTGAAGATGAATTTTAGGCAGTGTCTTCCAATTTTTTTTTTCCCAACAAAGATCTTTCTTTCAGGCCTCAAACTACATGCTTCATGAATTCCAACTTGTTTTTTACACAGACTTCCCATTTCTTTCTGCTCATTACCTAAGTCAGGAGGCTACAGAGTCAAATGCAAGGTGTGCCTGTGAATCGGAAACTGCAAAGCCAGGAATGTCAAGGTTTGGGAAACTGCCATAGGCTATGGCACATTCCTACAACACTTGATTCTGTAAACGTGGCTGTTCTGGAGCAGCACGGGATAGCAAGAATGCCGGGCAACTGCTTTGGTTTTTCCCCTGGACCAGAGTCACTGCAGAATAAAACTGTCCACCTTTTAATCTTAGGCCTCTTTACTGATCCCCAGAAATGCAATGATTTAAAGCACAGTGTGGGCAGGAAGTAAGCTGACTATCAAGATTAAATTTCTTAACCCGCTCCTGTGTGCTCCCTGCAGAAGCTGACCCTTCATGCCATTCTTACAGGATCCTGTTAATGCTGATGTAAATCCTGGTGTGTTAAAAATTTATTTTATCGATCCTTGGATACACCATAGGCCTCTAACTTCTCTAGTGTTAGAAGAATACTCCGCAACAGCAAAAAGAACTGAGGCTCAACTAGGACTTAACAAATCATAGAAAACCTTCAATGGCAGTTTTGATGATGAAACCCATTACTGTAGGACTGGTTCTCATAGGCTTTCAATTAGATGTCCTTTTGGCACGTAAATTATTTGATTACAGAGAAAAATTAAGAAAAATGCGAATCACTCCAAGTCTTGTTATTTCATATAACCATTAGCACTCACATTTTCTTATAGTTTGTTATGTGCATTTAAATGAAGATATTTATATAGCTGAGATCACACTACAGATATTTTGATTCTGCCCTTCATATTTTTTGCCCCTACTATATAAGCCCTCTTCCAAACCCTTCAAACCTTTTCTAAGTATCCCTTTTAAGGGGTATTTAATATGCCAGAGTTTAGCTACCTATTCACTCATACTGAGAAGTGGTCATTTTTCACAATTAGAAATAATGCTGTCATAGTATTTTTTTTTTGTCTTTTTCCTTTTTATGGGTACTAGGGATCGAACTCACGACTGCCTGCTTTTCAAGGCAGGTGCTTATGCTGCTGAGCTAAATCCCCAGCCCCAGTATTTTTTTTTTTTTTTGAGACAAGGTCTTGCTATGCAGTTTGAGCTGGCTTTGAACTCACCTTGTAGTCCACACTAGTTTTGAAATCACAATGATCCTGCTGCCTCAGCCTTGCAACTGTGGGATTATAGGTGTTTGCCACCACACCCAGGTATATTATACTTTTTGCTATATTATGCCATGTAAACTTCATTGTGTATTTCAAATTATTTCCTCAGAATAAATTATGAAATATGCATTTACTATGAGTCAAAAATATAAAATTATATATATATATATACTATTTGGGGGGATTTGATACCATAAATCGAACTCACGACCTTGCGTTTGCCAGACAGGCGCTTATGCCACTGAGCTAAATCCTCATCCTGATATTAGGTAATATTTAACCCAAAAGAAAAATCTATATAGAAGGGAGGCAAAATATTCAATGATTTAATAATTATAAAAATATATTTAATCAGAGAGTGGGTTGTATATTCTTAGAAACATTCTGAATTGTATGTAATAATCCTAAATTTGTGCATTTAGAAAAATGTGTCTTATCAAATGTAAATGATAAAAATGAGGAAAATGGAGTACTTACACTGTCAAGGCTACAAATGAGTGAAGAATTTGCATTCTTTGCCCTTTTCATAAATGGGTGTCGGAATTTTTCATTATATGTCACTAAATCTTTGAAATATTTGTTGTAAGTATCTTTCCAATTTTGGTATTTGCCTTTGAATTTGCTCAAAATATTTCACGTTAAAAAATTGTAAATTATGATGTGGATGAACTCTTGGGCTCTTTTGGTTGTAATTTCTTGTGGCTTTTTTTAAACTTAGATATTTCACATAGAGACAAAATAAACACGTATCCTAAAGTGTTTTGGTTTTTGTACTTAAGCTTTTACCAAACTCTTTGGGTCTCATCTTTCTTTCCAAAGAACCACTTTTCCCAACACTGTTTGCCATCATGCCTTGAATGACCGCTCAGATTTCTTGGCTCAAAACAATACACACATCTTGCACGTGTTCAGTCATTCAGCTAGTATTCAATGAATATGTATTATATCTCAAGTACTCTACTTTATGCCAAGAATACAAAGAAGAACAAAATACACTGAGTTCCTGCCCTTAGAGCTTACATTCTAGATGAGGAGAGAGACAGTTTTAAGACCCAAAAACCAAGTATTAACTTTTGTAGATGACATCAGGCAGAGTTAGGATCTATCAAGAAAATAAATATGGAAATAACTGCAGGAATTTCATATATTGCTTCAGATATTGTCCCTTCCAATATACACTGTATTCTCTTATAACTGGCTCCTCCCCACCTCCCTCCTTCCTCCTCTTTATTTCTTCCTCTTCTTTATTTCTCCTGCTTTGTCTTTTGGTTAAACGTTGATTGGAGTAAGCAGACTTGGGAAGTGTTCTTTTAAAACAAGGATGGGTCAGCATAGCACCACTGAGGTCATATAGACCAACTTCACCTTCACTGCATCGTGTACTCCTCTGTGAACAGATGTACTTGGATTTGTGTACAGTAAGGTAACCAGGCCGTCCCCACCGCGGCTATATTTAGCCAGCATCCAGGGAGCGACCTACATAAAAGCTATAATGGACTTTAACTCGTACCTAAGTTTAAGGAGATACTCAGACTCATTCAAATGCTACACACTGTTCAGACATGAGCAGAGGGAAAGTGCGTAGAGAAAGCATTTAGCAACCTTGAGCCAGGAAAGCATCAAATCAGTACAGAGTGAAGGCCTACTTCTTCCCGGGCTCCACTGGCCGTATCCCCCTGCCGGAAAAGACCTTCCTCCTAGCCACTTGTCAAATGATCAGTTTGTCTCTAGTTTACCTACTTCAAGTCTTGTGGTCAGTACTAATTCATCTCTCCCCCATAGAATTATATCAATGCTTTCATTACAATTTTTTCAACAGCCTACCTGTATGAACACATACGTGTTTTCTTTCTTTTTTTTTTTTGGTCTTTCTCCTTTTTATCGGTACCAGGTATCGAATTCACGACTGCCTGCTTGCAAGGCAGGCGCTTATGCCGCTGAGCCAAATCCCTAGCCCCCACGTGTTTTCTAAGTTGTGGACACTTAAAAACTGATGAGAATATTTGTTTCATTTTTTAAAACTTCCATCAGGCTTAGCAGTGGCATTTGCACATAGTAGCCACTCAATAAATGTGAATTGGGGGCTGGGGATTTAGCTCAGCGGCATAAGCGCCTGCCTTGTAAAGCAGACAGTCATGAGTTCGATCCCTGGTACCAAAAGACAAAAAAAAAAAAAAAGAAAGAAAGAAAGAAATGTGAATTAACTTGAAATGAGACTGCTTCCTCCAGCCTCTTACTGCTGATCTAAATCTAGATCAGTATAGCTTAAATGTTTTCATAATCCTCTACTGCCTCACCCTAAATGAGCCCACAGCAATGAACTCCTAAGCAGTATTTATGGAAACTAGTTGTCAATCTAACAAACATTCTCCTAAACTATACTCCTCTGGATGCTTATCTTTGTGCTTGGAAAGTTGCTCTTTTCCTCGGTTAGCAAAGCTCACAATCATAGAGCCAACTGAGCAAGGCTTTTTTCTCTCAACCAGCACTATGCTCCGCCATTCCTATCTTCTTTCTCATGTGTTCCAGATAACACTATCCTAAGTCCAGTGAGGAGCATGGGTTTCCCTAGCCCAAGACGCTTTTATATTGTAAATTATGTCAGAATAAGCTTCCATGATATAAGGACTGTCCTTTAAGTGTATAGGTGGAAGATACACATCAAATACATTCTATTAACAGGGTGCAACAGTCTGAGGTAACCTTTGTTGCAAAGGTGTTCTGCAGAACTTTTATCTTCCTTATCAATCAGGTTATTCCTTCAATGTAAAATGAGCTTAAAATTTTTGATGTCACCGTATTTGAGCATTTGAAATAATAACCCCTTTTCAACTTGCAATTCTCCCTGCTAACACGGTACACTAAGAAAAATAGATTTTGCTGTCTCCTTTCTCACGGAAATATTCTTGCACAGTGTAACAGCCACGGTGGCAGCAGGCGAGCACCACAGGAGGAGGCAGGGCAGTGGGACTGCACTTTATTAGTGGAGGAACGTGTCCACCAAATATTAGTTCTTTCAAGGATACACGCTCTTGATAAGAGAAGAAGGTGATGGTGTATGAGGAAGCACATGTGAGTGTCACAAATCTCTGTACATAAAGGGCAGTCACCACTATTACACATGGGAGCACTGAGAAGAATCTAGTTGTCTTTACCTGGTAAATCTGTGTGGAGGGATTGTTCACCGGCATATGTTCATTCTCTCCTGCAGGGAGAAAAAGCTTTGTTCAATCACGACAATTATTGTTATTTTCCTGTCCTTGTAAGATACACGCAGGGAATGGGAGAGCTTCCTGAACTCTCTGTTGCTGCCTGCATGACAAGAAACTAACAATTCAAGAACAAAAAAATAAGCTGGTGTAGATGGTTTTCATATCTACTGTACACCCTAGTGTCTAAACCGTATCTACCTTGTAGTAAAAACCATGGAGTAGAGTTAACTCTGGTAGTAGAAAATCATGTTCTACCACAGCGGGGAAACTTCCCAACAGAACTGGGGGATTACGGTCATTAAGCAGTCGGAAGAGAATGCCCAAGTGTCTCCCCATATTCTGGGGCTCAGTGAAGTTTACCCGAAAGGACAGTGCTATAGCCAGGAAAGTTTCTCTTCCCCAGGTCCCTGTCTGGTTGTCACTTACTGATCTCAGGCCTACATGAAGTGTCCCTTGCTTCTATCGTTTATCCTTTCCAAATTTCTGAACTCAGATCTGTCACTGCTGAGATCAGCTAAGGGGATGTGGCTGTATTCTGAGGCAAGAGGGCTGCTAAGGGAATTGGCAGTGGAAAGGTTCTTGGAAGTAGGAAGAAAAAAAGACAGTATTCTCAACACTAGAGGCTGGCAAACACATGGGAAGGAGGTTTTAAAAGTCATTTGAAACCTAAGGAGATAAAAAGCTTTAATGTGCCTTTCAGAACCGCATTGATTGACCATGAAAATGAGCACGTTTATGGCTCATCTGTCATTGTCTGACTGCTGATTTTGTCGTGTTGTATGAGTTCATCAGCTTAAGATGAAGCCCATGTTGCAAATGTGTCCACATAGATGTGTATACCGTTCTCGGACACGCTGACATGGAAAACCCTTCCTTAGAGGAAGCAGTCACAGTGTGTTAAGTTTATAAATATATGACCTCATTCTAGAACTTGTACTTACAGAGAGCTGTCCTATAAAATCCAAGTAATCTGAGATCACCAGACTCCCCCCAACAAGATCAAGTAAGACTCATGCAGCCCATTTTATGCTACTTTCTAACACCCTGGTGTGACGGGGAGAACCAAGACTTATGAACCCAGGCCAGGATCCCAGACCTAGTTTTTTAATACTTTGGAGTTGTAGCCTGACTTCTCTGTGACTGTTCCTCAACTGTAAATTGGTCATGATACTAGAACCTGTTCTTATGTGATTGTTCCTATATGGTAAAAACAAAACAAAACTTATTCTTCCATGCTATCCTAGAAGATGGTGCATGTTTATTAATTGAATCTGCATCTTTTGGAGTACTGGGGATTGAACCAAGAGTCTTCACCCTGAGCTATGTGCCCAGTTCAGTCCATCTATTTATTCATTTGTTAGTTTAGTGTAATTTGGTTCAAGATAGGATCTTGCTAAGTCACTAAGTGGCCCAGGCTCGCCTCAATTTGCCATCCTCCTGTCTCAGCCTCCCAGAGTTTTGGGATCACAGGTGGGCACTACCACACTCGGCTTCAATCTGTATCCTGACCTACTCTCAGAATGTTGTTCTGTGGTGGTCTTAAAGTACATATATTATGACCATGAAAACCATAGACTTGCTGGGGGGCTATCAGGTCATAATAAGATGATGGAGAAATGCTGTCTTGAGACTGTGGCAAGATGAGACTGAAACCTACATTTCTTAAGTCCTGAACATTAAAGTAAGACATAAGGAAATCAGACCTTGCTTGGTTTTGGTTTTTTCCATGGTGCCTGTTGCTTCTCTCCTCCCTCTTAGTCTTCAACATTGCATCCTTGTTGTACTGGATCAGGCCACCGCCCCTTCCCTGCACCTGTCAATTGAAATCAAGAATAAATGACAGCAGGCAGAACTGGTGAAGGACTTCATCTAGCCTTATGGGTTAACTTTGTTTTTCTTTTGAGACAGGGTCTCGCTATTTAGTTCAGTGGACCTTGAACTCACTATATAGCCCACGCTGGCCACAATCTCACTGCAAACCTGCTGTCTCAGCCTCCAGGCATGCATCACAATGACTAGTTGTATGTGTTAACTTTAAAGAACTGAACACAGGTTGAGGTTTATGCAATTTCAGAAGAGTAAGAAATATTAAACTGATAAATACTTAGCTTAAAGATAAATATCATTTTGGAAGTACAAAATTCATTGCTTAAAATTACGTTCTCTTTTGGGCTGAACCAACTCATTCAAGCCTAATGATTTTATTAGCAGGTTATAGTTTAGGGAAATTATCTTAAGAGGAAAAATCTTGACCAACTATTTGTTGTTTGTTTCTGCTTCATTAAACAGTAGGTTTCCTGGTGGTCTTATCTTCATTTTCACTATCTAGTGGGTTCCGTTGCACCCAGGAAGATATTTATCAAATGAGACCTGGCTGCCATACCATCGGTCATGAAACTTCAAATCTAGAATGCAATTTCATGAACACACACAGACAGCATGGACATTGAGCCTCCTTTTAGCATCCAGCATTTTAACACTTCCTGTGTTTATAGAATTCCCCCGCCACATGGACCTCCTATTATGGAGGTTGTTAAGTGCCAGGTTTTCTGAGCCTTCCCTGCAACCAAGGCACAGTGGGCACATGACATAGGACATGCTGTTACATGGAGTTAGCCACAAATTTTGAAATTATTTTTAGAAGCAGTTTCTGCTATTTGGAAAAAAATGTTGAAATAAAAGCCATATTTTATTGGATTTCATGGATAATTTATTCTTGAAGATTTATTTATCTAATCTATAACAAATTGAAAACAAGCAAAAAAATCCATAATATCCTAGGTAAAATGAAAATTTACACATTTTTTGGAGCTAGGACATCAAGTTCACATATGTGCATGTAGCTACAGGTTCAAGACATGCTAAAAGGTATGTGACAAGGTATGTGACTGAGAGTATTAGGAATCTCATTTTCTTTAGTTAATTAAAAAAGCAAAGAAAATTGTATTGGAGAAAATTTCAAAATTATAGCGGGATGAAGCATACATATTATCTTTACTTAGACAACTATCATGATCATTAGTTTGTAATGCCCACTATCTTTCATCTCTGAAATGTTTTACATCATTATTTTTTGCTTGTTTGTTTTTTTGGTACCAAGAATCGAACTCACGACCTTGTGCTTGCCAGACAGGCCCTTGTGCCCCTGAGTTAAACCCCTGGCCCACATCATTGCTAATGGAGCCTACCTAAACATTTGTATCTACCTTTTCCACTTATGCCGTAACATAAGCACTTTACTTTGTTTTAAAAATTGGATCAATATTATTTATAAGGGTTTGATTGTTGTTCTTCAAGACAGGGCCTCACCGTGTTACCCAGGCTGGCCTCAAATTCCCTTTCTCCCTCCCTCCCCCTCCTGAGAAGCTGAGATTCCAGGGATCCACAATCCAGCTTCAAGATATTTTTATTGAGTCCATTTCTGAAGAAAGCATTCTTCCCCAACCCTAAGAGACGTGAGTCTCTGCTCTTCCTCCATTCTTTTCTCCATCTTCATATAATCACACACAAGCACAGAAGCTTACACATACATGGTGTGAATATCAAAGTACGTTCATATTGTTCTTTTCTGTCGCTTACCTTTCCATGTGCATTAGTATGGATCTAAGAAATAATTCATGATTTCATAATTTAAATGAGTTGTTAATCTTCCTGAATGCCCTTTATTTCCATTATTTTGCAAAAGCAAACAGTGCCACAATGACCAGGTGCGGTGGCACATGCCTGTAATCTCGCGACTTGGGAGGCTGACAAAGATGATGGCAGTGAGTCTGAGGCCAGCCTGAGCTACAGAGTGAGACTGTCTCAAAAAACTAAAAACTAGAAGAAAAAAAGCCATGACAAATGCCTTGGTAGGTAGAATATGTATGTGTGGTTTTAACAGATGAGACCAAGCTGCTTTCCAAAGCCTGCACTCACTATGTGTTCCCTCAGGGGTGCTGTATGAACGGATCCTCCTGTATCCTAGGTAACAGCAGATACTGACACTTTTTAGTTGTAGGCAGTCAGATGGATGACAAGTGATGCTTTGTAATTACTTTTGCTAATTGCTAGTGCTCCTGAGCATCTCTACTTATTTACCTGTTCCAATTTCAAAACCATAGTCTAAACATCTGTCAGTGTTTTAAAACTCTTGGGGCCAGGTACAGTGATGTGTGCCTATGAGCCCAGCCCTCTGGGAGACTGAGGCAAGAAGATGGCAAGTTCAAGCCCAGCCTGGGCAAGTTAGCACCTTAGCAAAACCTCGGTTCACAAATAAAAAGTGGAGAAGGGTTGGAGATTAGCACTATGTGAAGGCCCTGGGTTCAGTCCCCAGCATCAGAATAAAAATTGTGAGGCAAGCCAAATTTTTTTTCATCTTTTGGTTTTCCTAGCCAAGTACAGTGGTGCATGACTACAGCCACAACTACTTGGGAGGCTGAGGTGGGACAATGTTAAGTTTGAGCCCAGTTTGGGCAACACAGTGAGACCCTGTGTCAAAAACAAACAAAACAATGAACAGAAACTTCAATATCCAGATAATTTGCTTTTCCTGACATCTGCTAACTCATACAAACAAATGAACTCTTTTTTTTTTTTCTTTTCTTTTTTTGTTACCAGGGATTGAACTCACGGTTTGCGCTTGCCAGGCAGGCACTTATGACACTGAGCTAAATCCCCAGCTACCCAGATGAACTCATTTTGCATTTTATGTTTTTAATCTATTACCAGGGAGAAACAAACAAACAAACAAGGAATTTCTATTTGAATTGCATTTGATTTATATATTAATTTAGGGAACTGACATTTTTCTTACATAAAATCTAATCATGTAAGAGCAGTATACTTCTTTCCATTTGTCTGAATCTAGTTTATGAGATCTTTTAATCAGATTTTGTAATTTCCTTCATAAGGCTCCTGTACTTCAAAACAAAATTTATTAAATATCTTTTAAGATTTTCTTGTTACTGTGAATGCAAATTGTTATTGTGAATTTTTCTCCATTTCTATTCCTTGTTGTTTTTCATAGTCTCTATTTTTGGTGTATTTATTTTGTATTCATCCACTGTATTAAATTCCTCTACTAACTGTGGAAATTTTAGATGAGTATGTCTTTACTTTTTAGATTATTTTTATCATGAAGGCAGTGACCCTGGGGATTGAACCAGAGCCTCAATATGCAAGGCAAGTGCTCTACCACTGAGCTACACTCTCAGCCTGTCCTTGTTCTATCTTACTATGTTTGCGAGACCTTTCAGAATGTTTTTTCCTAATAATTGTGCTTGTGGACATCATTATTCATCTTCTGATTTTAATGTAAATGGCTCTAGAGTATTTAGAATATTTGCTGTTCTTGATAAGTAATCTCTATTACTTAACTTAAAGTTCTATTTTACTAAAACTTCCTGTTAGAAATGAATATTTGATATTATTATATCTTTCAATTGCTTAGACCTTACAATTGATAGGCTTGTTTTCCTCTCCTTTATTTAATGAATTATACTATTTCCCTGATTCATCATGCCTAGAGTGTATGCTCGTTTCTAGGATACAGTTCATTTAACAAATAACTGCATTCTATTTGTTGATATTTAAAGTTTTTGTATCTATATTCATAATCGATTTTGTTTTATGAAGGGATTTCTTTTATCATACTTTGCCATTAAGGTTATGCTAGTTTTAAATTAGAGAGTTGCTCATCTTTTTTGTGAAATCCAGAAAAGTTTTAAGTACATGAGAATTATTTTCTCTTTAAATAATATCACATCAGTATGAAACCATTTGGTCCAACTGCCTTTTGAAAATATCAGTAGATCTTTAAAGCCTTTTCCATTTCTTCAAAAGTTTACTCAATTTTTCTACCTAATTTAGTCATTTATGTTTTCCTAGGAAATCATATATTTCCTCAAGTTTGTCAAATCCGTTAACAGATCATAATCATTTTTCCATATGCTGTATAAGAAATGGTGAAAGAGGGCCGGGGGTTTAGCTCAGCAGCACAAGCACCTGCATAGCAAGCACAAGGTCATGAGTTCGATCCTTGGTACCAAAACCAACAACAACAAAAAAGAAATGGTTCAACAGTTGAACCACTGTTATGTGCCAAAGATTATGCTTCACATTTTATTTGTATTGTCACATTTAATTGAATCCTCACATTGATTTATTTAGCATGTACCATTATTCCAATTTTATAGATGAGAATACTGAAACTTGGAAAATGAATTAATAACACATCCAAGATCATAGATTCAGAAATGGCAGAAAGAGATAGAACTGTAATTCAGGTCTGTGTGATTTCTGAACTGGGACTTTTATTATGTTTGACTTTCTCCAGATAGTTTTGCAATCGTTGTACTTAATTACTGAAAAATAGTTGCTTGAGGATATATGTCCTTGTTTTCTTTCCCTTTCCTATTTATCAGGATAGCTTTCTGGTTTTCACTATAATAAATGAATCCAAAAAATCGCCCTCTTTTCTCATCAGGTATTTAGGACATTCTTAGGCTATATTTGCAGAAGACAATTTCTAACCTGAAGTGTATGGTCATTTTAACAAACAATTACATACTAAAAAGCACATTTTAAAGGAAATGATATCTAGATTGCATAGAAAGTAATGTGAATTTTTCTAAAGAAAGCCTTTTGCCAACTATAAAACTCCCTTTAAGATCTTACTTATAAACTGTTCTTTCTTCTCACTCTCTGAGCCTGGGCATTCTTCAGTTTGCCCTTGATAGCCCTTGGATCATTTCTACTTTTGAATAAATACCATTAAAGGTTGTCATCTTTCCCCTTTCTATCTCGTGACTGTAGTGCCAGCTCCTAAGCACA